ATATTCTTCAATATTGAAGAATATTCATCAATATAGAAGAAGAATATTCTTCAATATTGAAGAATATTCTTCTTCTATATTGATGAATATTCTTCAATATTGAAGAATATTCTTCAATATAGAAGAATATTCTTCTATATTGAAGAATATTCTTCTATATTGAAGAATAATATTCTTCTATATTGAAGAATAATATTCTTCAATATAGAAGAATATTCTTCAATATAGAAGAATATTCTTCAATATAGAAGAATATTCTTCAATATAGAAGAATATTCTTCTATATTGAAGAATATTCTTCTATATTGAAGAATATTCTTCTATATTGAAGATTAATATTCTTCTATATTGAAGAATAATATTCTTCAATATAGAAGAATATTCTTCAATATTGAAGAATATTCTTCTATATTGAAGAATATTCTTCTATATTGAAGAATATTCTTCTATATTGAAGAATATTATTCTTCAATATAGAAGAATATTATTCTTCAATATAGAAGAATATTCTTCAATATAGAAGAATATTCTTCTATATTGAAGAATATTCTTCAATATTGAAGAATATTCATCAATATAGAAGAAGAATATTCTTCAATATAGAAGAATATTCTTCAATATAGAAGAATATTCTTCAATATAGAAGAATATTCTTCTATATTATTCTTCAATATAGAAGAATATTCTTCAATATTGAAGAATATTCTTCAATATTGAAGAATATTCTTCAATATAGAAGAATATTCTTCTATATAGAAGAATATTCTTCTATATTGAAGAATATTCTTCTATATTGAAGAATATTCTTCAATATAGAAGAATATTCTTCAATATAGAAGAATATTCTTCTATATTGAAGAATATTCTTCTATATTGAAGAATATTCTTCTATATTGAAGAATATTCTTCTTCTATATTGAAGAATAATATTCTTCAATATAGAAGAATATTCTTCAATATAGAAGAATATTCTTCAATATAGAAGAATATTCTTCTATATTGATGAATATTCTTCAATATTGAAGAATATTCTTGTATATTGAAGAATATTCTTCTATATTGAAGAATATTCTTCAATATAGAAAAATATTCTTCAATATTGAAGAATATTCTTCTATATATATATTGAAGAATAATATTCTTCAATATAGAAGAATATTCTTCAATATAGAAGAATATTCTTCAATATTGAAGAATATTCTTCAATATTGAAGAATATTCTTCAATATTGAAGAATATTCTTCAATATACAAGAATATTCTTCAATATACAAGAATATTCTTCTATATAGAAGAATATTCTTCTATATTGAAGAATATTCTTCTATATTGAAGAATATTCTTCTTCTATATTGATGAATATTCTTCAATATTGAAGAATATTCTTCAATATAGAAGAATATTCTTCTATATTGAAGAATATTCTTCTATATTGAAGAATAATATTCTTCTATATTGAAGAATAATATTCTTCAATATAGAAGAATATTCTTCAATATAGAAGAATATTCTTCAATATAGAAGAATATTCTTCAATATTGAAGAATATTCTTCTATATTGAAGAATATTATTCTTCAATATAGAAGAATATTATTCTTCAATATAGAAGAATAATCTTCAATATAGAAGAATATTCTTCTATATTGAAGAATATTCTTCAATATTGAAGAATATTCATCAATATAGAAGAAGAATATTCTTCAATATTGAAGAATATTCTTCAATATAGAAGAATATTCTTCAATATAGAAGATTATTCTTCTATATTATTCTTCAATATAGAAGAATATTCTTCAATATTGAAGAATATTCTTCAATATACAAGAATATTCTTCTATATAGAAGAATATTCTTCTATATTGAAGAATATTCTTCAATATTGAAGAATATTCTTCTTCTATATTGATGAATATTCTTCAATATTGAAGAATATTCTTCAATATAGAAGAATATTCTTCTATATTGAAGAATATTCTTCTATATTGAAGAATAATATTCTTCTATATTGAAGAATAATATTCTTCAATATAGAAGAATATTCTTCAATATAGAAGAATATTCTTCAATATAGAAGAATATTCTTCTATATTGAAGAATATTCTTCTATATTGAAGATTAATATTCTTCTATATTGAAGAATAATATTCTTCAATATAGAAGAATATTCTTCAATATTGAAGAATATTCTTCTATATTGAAGAATATTCTTCTATATTGAAGAATATTCTTCTATATTGAAGAATATTATTCTTCAATATAGAAGAATATTATTCTTCAATATAGAAGAATATTCTTCAATATAGAAGAATATTCTTCTATATTGAAGAATATTCTTCAATATTGAAGAATATTCATCAATATAGAAGAAGAATATTCTTCAATATTGAAGAATATTCTTCAATATAGAAGAATATTCTTCAATATAGAAGAATATTCTTCTATATTATTCTTCAATATAGATGAATATTCTTCAATATTGAAGAATATTCTTCAATATACAAGAATATTCTTCAATATAGAAGAATATTCTTCTATATAGAAGAATATTCTTCTATATTGAAGAATATTCTTCAATATTGAAGAATATTCATCAATATATAGAAGAAGAATATTCTTCAATATTGAAGAATATTCTTCTTCTATATTGATGAATATTCTTCAATATTGAAGAATATTCTTCAATATAGAAGAATATTCTTCTATATTGAAGAATATTCTTCTATATTGAAGAATAATATTCTTCTATATTGAAGAATAATATTCTTCAATATAGAAGAATATTCTTCAATATAGAAGAATATTCTTCAATATAGAAGAATATTCTTCAATATAGAAGAATATTCTTCTATATTGAAGAATATTCTTCTATATTGAAGAATATTCTTCTATATTGAAGATTAATATTCTTCTATATTGAAGAATAATATTCTTCAATATAGAAGAATATTCTTCAATATTGAAGAATATTCTTCTATATTGAAGAATATTCTTCTATATTGAAGAATATTCTTCTATATTGAAGAATATTATTCTTCAATATAGAAGAATATTATTCTTCAATATAGAAGAATATTCTTCAATATAGAAGAATATTCTTGAAGAATATATTGAAGAATATTCTTCAATATTGAAGAATATTCTTCAATATTGAAGAATATTCTTCATATATTGAAGAATATTCTTCAATATAGAAGAATATTCTTCAATATAGAAGAATATTCTTCAATATTATTCTTCTATATAGAAGAATATTCTTCAATATTGAAGAATATTCTTCAATATACAAGAATATTCTTCAATATAGAAGAATATTCTTCTATATAGAAGAATATTCTTCTATATTGAAGAATATTCTTCTATATTGTAGAATATTCTTCAATATAGAAGAATATTCTTCAATATAGAAGAATATTCTTCTATATTGAAGAATATTCTTCTATATTGAAGAATATTCTTCAATATTGAAGAATATTCTTCTTCTATATTGATGAATATTCTTCAATATTGAATAATATTCTTCTATATTGAAGAATAATATTCTTCAATATAGAAGAATATTCTTCAATATAGAAGAATATTCTTCTATATTGAAGAATATTCTTCAATATTGAAGAATATTCATCAATATAGAAGAAGAATATTCTTCAATATTGAAGAATATTCTTCAATATAGAAGAATATTCTTCAATATTGAAGAATATTCTTCAATATACAAGAATATTCTTCAATATAGAAGAATATTCTTCTATATAGAAGAATATTCTTCTATATTGAAGAATATTCTTCTATATTGAAGATTTTTAGTATTCATAATATTAAAGATTATTCCTCAAATATCTTATTAAAAAACAACACTATCACGTTAGAAACATCTTTTGGGAATGAACCTTACATACTGGTATACTTAGGCTTATGATGTTGAAATTAGTGTCCGCAAATATGACATCATGAACACGATTAAATAACATAAATGTATCAGTCTTGATAAACATTCTCATAAACATTACATTTATTAAACATTCTTCATTTTCACTGACATTTCATAGAACAATCGCTTCCTAATAAAACTTTTACATATCAGCAATATTAATTCAAGTAACACTTTTTCAAATGACAAGAGGGAAACGTCGCCAGCCCCCCGCTGGTCGCGTGCGGGGAAAGGATACCATCTAGAGCGTTGCCACTAGCAGATTGGGCTATTTATATATTTATGCATTGGATCTTTTATATACTGATTACATTTGTATACATTATATATTCAATAGGATATAGATATACATATATATTTCTATTTACTTTATACATATTATTTTTATATGTATATATATGTGTGACATATATACATTATATATTTTCTATTTATATTGTACATTAAACCTGACAACTTTCATACTATTCTTCAGTGGTACATTAATCGACGGCATACTGCAATGTACATTGCTGTCAATGATTCACATCCTAATATTTACTATTACAAGGCAATATTCTATTCGATTTTCTTTAACTACAAATATATGCTTATTAACTGCAAATCAATTCATTAAATAATATCCTTTACAATTTCTTTATCAATTATTATTTATTTCTTTTCTTTCTTTATATACTTATGTATTCACTTATTTGTCTAATGAATTCTATTATTCTATATAAACTCATATGTATTATTTACTTATTCCACTTTTAGTAACGTCGATTACAACATTTTACTCACTATTAATACCATCTTCACTACACAACAACTAATATATACTCATCAATACATCATTACTAAAATATCATTGATTTCAAATCTCACACTTAACATTGGTATTACTAAATTACATATTACTCCCTACTAAAAACAATTCGTAATTCATATTCATTAATATTCTATATAATTCTAGTCAGTACATTTTCATATTAATGCACTATTAATAGTACATAGTGATTAATATTGTAATTCTAATAATATTCATTTACATTACTATTCCATATCTATGTACATTTTTTCAATTATTAAACACATTTGGCCATTATATTCACTATTCAACCATCTTTACTATTTAACAAAGAAGTGTATTACTTACCTTTTTCATCTTCATTAAATATTATTAAATTGGGACTAACTTTAATACAACTCAATATTATTCAATACTGACATTTAAACTATCACTTTCAGATACAACTATTTGTATTCACATTCAATATTTTATTGATTGTTCCATAACATTTCTTACATAAACAATTATATTTTTTCATTTATACATTTCAAACAATTATATATTTACATACTTCAAGTCAACTCTAATTGTACATTTCCAGTGTTATTGTTTAATAACATTTACTTTTGACTCTACAATATTTACATTATTTTCTTCCTCAAACTCGCCCAAACCATTACATATTCTTTACGTTATTGCTTGTTTATGCTTTGCCTATATATCACATTTGCACATTACCAAACCTGTTCTTAACTACGTCAAACTACTTGTTTCTCCTCATTTCTTGTTCGTGCACACTTCTACGTCAAACAATGACAACCTCTTCCTCAATTCCATTTACAAACAACAACCTTCAATAGTGATTTACAAATTATATTCCTTTAATACCTTTACATTATCATCTTTGTAAATGTTTCATTCACAACATCCAGCACACACGAACATGCCTGGGAACCAACCAAAACGAAACGCTTATATTTACTAGAGATAACAATCACCAAATGTTCATTCTCAATGACCACCGGTTGGACCCGATTAAACGACCTCAAAACCACACAAGTCTACTCACGAAAAACAACAAACTAACCAACAATGTCACCACACATACACCCAGTCCTGAACATGGGAACGGAGTGTGAATGACAAGATAAGTGCTTAACGAAGACCAATTTCACATATGTAGGAGGGGTCAACATTTTAGTAATGCGCTTCACATATGTACGCAATTGGGGAACGGCCACCCTCCACGGGGGCAACGACAAAACAATACGACAAACATTACTAACAATAACCACAACACATTCTTGTAACAAACAGCAACGTGATGAAGAGGAACACGAACTACAGGAGGGGTACAAGTCAAAGCACGATACAGGCGAGTGAGGATGCTTTAACGATCCCACAAGATAGCGATCACGGCAATTATGCACAGACAGTATCAGCGTACAACTTGAGGCTACGAGTTGAACGAAAAAAACCACAGCTGAGGCACTACCCACTATGGTCCAAACGCCCAACATTTGAAGCACAACAGTACGCACGCAAACCATATTCAAGCTTATACACGAGCGCTCGTCTATCTCATCCAAAACAAGTATGATTCAACACCTGAAGTAGGTTAAGGCCCTTATAGCATTCAACACGGACCTAAGAAACATCGGACGACCAACACAAACGACTGTCAAGAAATAATACATTCCTGAAATCTTTGTAATCAACGCCATGACCATAAAGTGACAGAGGGACGAAGAACTACCCGCTTCACAGTAAAACCGCCTCGTCTTACAACACTCACACTCGGGTGCTTCGTCCCCCAGCCAACCACCCTCACAAACTACAAACGACACATTATCAGCAATGAAAACCAGTTAAAACTTTCATTCACGAATGTGCCCCCACAACCACCATGGACCCACACTTACTGGCAGGACACCAAACAAGCTATCGCCGATCTTCCAGGGCCACCCCAGGGGTGAGTCGTCAGTATACGTCCCACAAACAACACCTTAACAACCCTCAGTCCGTCCAGAGCCGGTTCACTGACGAAACGACGATTGACAATAAAACGGTCCTCTCGCTCCAGACGTTGGGTACTACACTTCTACGGGTGCAAGAGTATGCCTCCTTAACCACCATACCAAAGGTACAAACAATCATAACAGGCAAAAGCTCGCCAGCAAATGAGTTTGATAGGACAACAGGGGGGGGGGGTGAATTAAACGAGTAAAAGGAAAAGGGGCCTGGCAACATTGGTAAAGGCAGCAGCAGGAGCATAAAGCTGAAAAACAGAGGACTGACCCATGGAACATCACTCCGCCAGAAGCCAAACACACACCCTAATGGGGGTAACGACCCAAACAGTGAGGGGGTTTCACCACCAAGACATTTTGCCAACTCTATCATGGCAACACTGTTTCAGGAGATACTACTTAACCAAAAGAAACACATTATTCCCCCTCACTACTACTACATTATGATCTCTACTTTAAAACAAAACACTTTCCCCTTCCACCATAAAAATGCTATTTAAACTCGATATTTCAATTCACATCCACCTTTACTAGTGTACACATACATTAAATAGAAGGGTCATCGTGAATGATACTTCATATCTTGCCCAATCTCAACTCCTTTCAGTTCTGTTCGTCACGGTGTGGGTCGCGTGATCCTTGTCTTCAACACTTCTTGCACATCAGCCTCTGCTTCCCTTGTACGTCAAAGTCCGCTGGGTCGGATTTCCTCTACCAATCAAACATGATCTCCTCAATCTAGAAAACACATATTTGGTATATATTTCCTTTCTCTATCAGTCATAAACCTATATTATAATAAATATATTTAAGGTTAAATTCTATAGATTATACAGATAAAAATCATTGACCTTTTGTTTTCTTTAGTGTAAAAGGATCAACCACATTCACGTCTGCTTTACATTTGCATTTGCAATAACTTTTCCCATATTACATTTTTATACCTACTTTCTTCCATACCATCCTTAATTTATATTTACTTTACCATTTACACATTTTATATTATTTTCTCAACAAACTATTGACTGCCCATTCCTTCATCACACATCTTCCGCCCACTGGCCCAGCACCCCTCCCATTTCATGGATTTCAGTTAAAATTATTATTATTATACGACATTTTAATAACCAACTGCAATAATAACCATCATAGTAACCATTTTAATAACCATCAAACTATATGCTCGACGACTCACCACTACAATAAACATTTACAACATTACATTCTCTCGTACCTTGTATGGAACACGTCAACACTTGCAGCTCTGTCCCTACACACCATGTTGTCCACTTCTAAGGTACTCAAACCTCTCACCTGCCAAAGGTAGGGAACAAATGTTCATAATGGTCAATACAGTCGTTATAATAATGGTGATATCACATACACCCACATTTCTATAAACTACAGGGGGTGGGGGGGACATACCATAATTCACAGGAACGCCTGAACGACACTATCAAATGGGACATACAACGTTATGAAACAAACATCCCTCTCCACCTACCTGACACGATCTCTGTCAGCCAACTGTGTGAGCCCCTCTGACATTGATGTCAAATACAGGTGAAAACTCCCTTAGTCCACAACCAACTCTTATCTATTGCATGCCGCAAATCTACGTCAACCACGCCCTATCTTCATCACCTACATTTATTTACGTACACATCGAGTCGGTGACACTTCAATATACACGACTGCGTTAGGCCCGGTACACTTGCCTTACTGCCCACGTTGTTAATAACTACTCGCTTTAACACCCATCTAAGCTACGGTTAAACACTACGTCCTTCCATTATGCGGCTAACGTTTACAACTAACAAATGTCATTACTTCCTACTTTGTTCAATTGCACCACATTCTCTCGCCAAAATGGTACACTAAATAATTACATCCCAAACAATGAAACACTAACTGACGATGTTATTTCAACTTCATTAATATTTAATACCCTCAAATTTAATTACTGAAAAACCCTCGTCACATTCATCTTCCACGACAGTCGGTACTTGACTATCCTCAACGTGACATTAAAACACCAACAATATTCTAAACACGCTAACCTTTACACTCTAGTAACGTCCCACAACCTACAACCCATCAAAACGAACATATAAGACTACTCCGTGACGACTTGTCAGAAAGTGTCGAACACTAACTTTAAAGCGTCTGTTCTTCCAGACAGCCAAGGGGTCCCTGCCAATATGTCCAGTATTACCTGCAACAAACCAACACTTACCTCATGCTAACAATATCAATTATTCAATCATCCCTATACCATACATTTACTGAAATTAATACAGGTTGCAATTAAACTATTTTCTTGTACCTCCTCATTTCAAATGACATTGATCAAACCTCCATACTCAAAGGGTTTTGCAGCCGTTACCTGTGGCCTTGACACCTTCTCACCACCTAATACAATTAACAACTTCACTCACTTAAGCCTATCTTACTCTTATAGCCATGGTAATATTTTATTAACTAGATATTCAATAACTAGTTACCTTAAACTCTTACCTCCATATCTGCTAACTCAAGTACCACATCTACCTCAACCGGGACATCTACCACCACCTTCGGCTCAACACTGTCCCACTTCAATCATCGGTCAACACTCGTTCCATCACAATGGGGGTCTCTCCTCCACATTCCTAACTCCCCAGTCGCCTCATTTCATGCGATGCCTCATCGTCCAACCATTCCCTCATTCAATAACACTAAAATAAATAAACATTATTCAATACATATTTATAAATATATATTACTAATGATTACGGATCGCCAATATATATCTCTGCCTATATATATATCCTCCCCAAACAGGGTATATATACGGCACCTGTAACATACAACCTGGATAGTAAACAGCTGTTACTTGTGGGTTTACACCCTCTGACCACCCTAATACTATTTATTAATATGTACTGACTGAAGTTAGGTGGTCGTCCAGTTGCAATTTTAAAACACTAAAGAACCCCTCAACACGATTTAACCGCTTTGTGCGGTATCCTAATAAAATATTAACATGCCTCAAACTTTAACTAGGTATTCAATAACTCATTGAAACTTATCTGCTAACTCAAGTACCACATCTAGCCAAACCTCGACATCTGCAACCACCTTCTGCTCTGCATCGTCTAAGACTTGATTCATCGGTCCACCACTGGTCCCATCACAACGGTAGTCTCCTCCACATTTCCGCATCACCAGTAGGCTCCTTTCAAGCGATGCCTCTTCCAACCATTACCTCATTCACTTCAATAGCCCTGAAATTAATAAAGGTACAATTCAATACATATTTATACATTTTTTAATACTGATTAGGGATCAGGACTAAAATGAACTGCCTATATATATCCCCAAAGAGGGTATATACGGCAGCAGTAAAATAGATATTTGATATTTTTGACCCTATGTATTGGCGTTTTGCGGGTGTACAATATGAGTGTAAGCTAGGGGATCTGTCAGCCCTAGCGACCCCAAAGGGTAACGGGGTACCAGCTCAGAGTAACATCACGCCCTAACACTAACTTGTACACCACAACTATGCCAATACTGGGGTCAAAATAACGTTCCGTCGAGCCTCACCCACCAAGTCGACTCAACAGCCAATCACGTTTCGATTTCTCACTTGACGTCACATTCTCGCAACCTCTACTCTCATTGGTCGGCTACACCTAATTGGATACTCAAGTAATTCATGACAATTATTTATGCAAACTTCAATATATACACCAAAATGTATACCTAATGTATAAGAAACATACATAGACCATATGTATGAAAAACAATGTTTGACTTTACACTCACAAATAATGACTTTGATTACTCATTTAATATTCATAATTATTATTAGAATGATTAAATATTATTCATACTTATTCAAGCTGTAAGTACAGTACAACACAGTACAGTATAGTATATTACCCTACAGTACACTTCCGTACGGTACTATACATTACAGTACTGTAGAGTACAGTTCCGTACGGTACAATACTATACATTAAAATACACTACAGTACCCTACCATACAGAACAGCCAAGGGCACAGTACTCTACACTACAAGAGTACAGTACCGAACACTACAGTACATTACAGTCAAGTGCAGTACAGTACCCTACGTAACACTAAACTACACTACAAGGTACAGTAGAGTATAATACACGATACAGTACAGTATACTACAGTACTGTACTCGACTGAACACTGCCGCACAGTATTGTATACTGCAGTACAGTACACTACATTATTGCATAGTATAGTACAATACCGTACAGTGCACTACACAACCGTACAGACCACTCCACTACAGTACTCTATACTACACAAAAGTAATGTACCCTACAGTACAAAATGGTACACAATAAAACATTATAATGCAGTGCAGTACAGTATAATACAGTACGGTACAGTGCACTACACTGCAGTACAGTCAAATGAATTACAGAGCACTACAGTACACTATAGGACTGAACAGTACACTACCGTACACTCACACTTCGTTACTTGCCTTTCAAATGTAGCAACCGCATCACCATTACAATTTTTTCTCAACCGCATCACCATTACATTTTTTTCTACTTACATAACTGTTTCTGGAATATAACAATTCGTAATCAGTACAAATTTCACGTGACATGGGGAGAGAGCAGATTGCTGCAATGGCGGTGTATGGCAACTGACGCGCTAGTATCACTAACGACCATTGTTATTGCATTATTACCTTTCCAACCGTTCATTTCCGTCTATAAACAACACCAATGTATATTTATATACGTGATTTAAGCCATACATGCACACTGCCACTAGTAATAACGATTAGATTTAATATGCAATCAAATAGTGTTTTTCACATTTATGTAAAGTCATCAGTCATTTTGATTTATCAAGATCTTGTGCCTTACATTTTTATCATTTAAACTGTTGTGAGTCCTTTTTTAGAGAATGACGCTATATTATGATATGTTAAGCTAAGCTAAGCTAAGCAACCTACGCTAGACTGGACTAGGCTAGGGTAAGCTAGGTAAGGTTAGATACAGTACCCTAAAGTACAGGGTACAGTACAGCGTTATACATTACACAACAGTAAAGTGTAGTAGACTATAGTACACCATAGTGCACACCAGTACAGTGCAATACATTACACACAACTGAAGTACAATGCACACTACAACACAAAGTATTGTACTGTATTGTACATAGAAGTACAGTGCAACATTTTCTACTAGAAATTCCGCTAAACATAAAATTAACATTTCCCCTACAATTCCTACTAGAAATTCCCCTATAAATCGTACTAGAAATTCCTCTATAAATCCTACAATAAATTCCCCTATAAATCATACTAGAAATTCCCCGAGAAATTTTCCCAAGAAATCATACTACAAATGAAACTAGAATTCCTACTATAAATCATCCTACAAATCATACTACAAAACCTAGGAATCCTACTACATATCATACGATATGTAGGATATATGGATATCCTAAATATCATGGGATATATCGATATCACAGGATATGTAGCATTATATATACTACATATTCTTGGATATATATTTCCCAGATATCCTAGGATATCTAGCATAATCTAATATATATGTAAGATATCCTAGAATATCAACATATCGTAGCATATCCTACGATATGTACATCTATATTAGAGGATATCTACATATACATATCCTAGGATATGTAGGATATCTATATTAAAGGATATCTAGATATACATATCCTAGGATATGTAGGATATCTATATTAGAATATCCTAGCTATATATTACATTATACATCTAATATATATATAGCATATTTTTCCTTTATATATCTATGATAATTATTCTCGATATATATCTACGATTTTATCCTACATATATATTTCTAATTATCTAAATTATATATACACTATATATATATACTACATTATTCTAAATATATATATATATATATATATATATATATATATATATATATATATATATATATATATATATATATATATATATATATATAGGGGGGTACCACCACTGGTGCAATTATAGGGACCCACAGCCTAAGAGAAGGGAACACAGAGCACTCAGGGAAAAACTTGACATTTAACTCTGAATACCAAAGAGTGTTCACTTCTCCTACCACCCCCTTTTTTTTTATTATGATGTACACTTTATTATGCAAGGTTATACAGTTACATATCTGATTTTATACAAAAAATGAACATTAAGAGGACACAAGAAAATGTTCGCTTCCTAGAGGCTGTAGATTTCCTCGAACTCCTCCGACGCCGGGCAGGAACCGAGGATGCACCGGGCATTTCCCCTCTGGATCGCGACACACACACACACATGTATACATGTACATGTATATGTATATGTATATGTATATGTATATGTATATGTATATGTATATATATATATATATATATATATATATATATATATATATATATATATATATATATATATATACAGATGTATATCTTTATCTATCATTGTCCAAACTCCATTGTCCCTCTTACGGTTGTGCATATCTTTGTTGAATGTCCGGACTGTCCCTCGATAGTATCCTTGGTGAATCGGATGCCTTTCATGTTATGCGCTTTTGTTTTCGTATTGACATCCTTACTGATATTTAGCGCCTTTGGAATAGGTCGTACTTTTAAAGGTGATACATAACCTCCCTGGCTTGGTGCCTTCTTTGGATAATTAATTCATACTTGCATAAATGATCTACCAGAAGGAATATATACTTGTATGGCCATGTTTGTGGATGATGCAGACGATTGTCAGGCCCTTTAAATTGATCAAATAAGTGTTTCAACTACATGGATTGTGAAATATTGAAGAAATGACTTTTGTGATTAATATTCGATTATGCAGCAGTTGTATGGTGACAATATCTTCAAAAGCACTTCGTGAAAATGCACAAGGTGCAATGGCCTCCTAAAAACAACAAAAAGCCTTTCTGATCAGGGGGAGAAAGATACTGGCAGTATGGGGCTTTAAATTTATTGATTTGCGAGGGCAGCGGCGGGGGCAGGCGGAGTGAGGGCAGAGCCCCTCTGAGCCCCCGTATTTATACGGCCCCAAACTGCCCGCGCAACGCCGCGGGACGCGCTGCGCAAATGTTTCTTTCTCCCCTATCAGAAACATCCCCGCTTTGCGAAGCAGTGGCCATTTCTGGAACTGAAAAACAAGAGGTACAACGAGAATCATTAAATATGGCACAACTAGACTAAAATAAAAGGTGATAGAATACTTACAATACTACTAAAACACTTGCAAAGTAATAAAAGGCATTGACAAACATTAAATCCTGAAACTTGAAACTTGAGAACACATTTTGAAACAAATTTCTTTTACGACCGACTTTACGATTATTGCCCTTACAGCATTCTACTTGGAGGTAAGTAATTATCAAAAGAAGGCACCAAACCGGGAAGGCTATGTAGCACCATCAAATACCAAACATGACAATACGACAACAGAAACTCATAAGGCGAACGATACAAAAAGTATCCGATTCACAAAGAATTCCATCGAGGGACGAGCGACTGCAAGGGATGGTCGGTAAACAAGACAAACGCTCGTCCGGGAAGTCAGCACATTCAATAAGAATATGCACCACTTTAAGAGGGACAATGCAATTTGGACAATAAGGAGCAGGGCGCCGCTCCATTAAGTGACCGTGAGTTAAGCGAGTAGGACCAATTCGCAACCTCACAACACCTGTTTCCACATCCACGGTTACAGTGGTAGGAGGACGGTCAGGACGACACACTACTCTTAACAGTACGCAGTTTGTTACCAGTAACAGAACCTAAACAAGCCTGCCAACGGCTAAGGACGGAGGAATGAATAACTGAATAAAACTCGGAATCAAAAATACCTTTACGAGAGATGGGACAAGAGTGGACAGCTTCTCTAGCGGCACCATCTGTACGCTCAATTAAAGACACCAATATGGCTGGGAACCCAACAAAACTCAACTGACTTAAATTTACTATGAACAAGAAACAACCAATGCTGGATCTCGACAACCACTGGATGAACCCGATTAAAGGACTCGAGAGCCATGAGGGCACTATGAGAGTCAAAAACAACTACAAAGCAACATTGACAACGAGAAACCAGGAGACCAAGAGCATAGAGAATAGCATAAAGTTCAACTGTGATGATCCTATCTCCAGAGGTAAGCGGCACATAGAATTGCAATAAAAAAAAAATCACAGTAGCCTACACCGTCTGCAGACTTACACCCATCATTGAAAATGGAAACGGAGCGGGAGTGAGGAAGGTGTTCAAGGAAAAGGCGTTTTAGAACCGTAGGTGGGGTAAAAGCTTTAGTGATGCCGGTTAAGGATGTACAAAACTCCGGAAGGGGGACTCTCCACTGGGGCAAAGAAGGAACAACACGAGCAAAAATATGAACAATACGAACCGAAAGATAATCCTGTAAGCCAGATAACAGAACAGAAAGAGGGGTGTGATGAAGAGGAACAGGAATCACAGGACGGCCAAAAGTTAAAGCAGTACAAACGCGAGAGGAAGGATGTTGCAAGGACCGCGCAAGATAGCAAAGGCAGTAACGATCACAGCGGTCCTAGAGAGATAGGAAGCCAGTTTCAACATACAAGCTAAGGACGGGAGTCGAACGAAACGCACCAGAACTGAGGCGCAACCCAATATGGTGCAAAGCATCAAGACGGCGAAGAGTAGGAGGAGAACACCACGAGTAAGCAGGGCAACCATAATCCAGTTTAGACAGGACGAGAGAGGTATGTAAAACGAGGAGAATCCGCTTATCCGCTCCCCAAGAAGTATGGGAAACATCTCAAGGAGGCCAAGGGCCATAGAGCATTCAACTCGGAGGTAAGAGATATAGGGCGACCAACACAAACGAGTGTCAAAAATCAATCCCAAAAGCTTAGCACAATCATTGTACACAATGGCGTGACCATAAAGCGACAAAGAAGGACGAAGAACAACATTCTTCCGAGTAAAAGTCATAGCATAAGTCTTAGACGTTGAGAACCTGAAGCCATGATCGGTGGCCCAACACGACACGATATCAATCGCAAGTTGATGCCAGCGTTGAAGGAGAGGCGAATCATCACCCTGACAGCGAAGGGTAAGATCGTCGACAGACAGCGGAGAAGACACCAGAAGGAAGAGAGGAAAGAAGACCATTGAGGGCAACCACAAAAAGAGTAGTGCTCAGAACACTACCCTGGGGCACAACTTCGTACTGCTGAAAACAGCCAGAGAGAGCGATACCAAGCCTCACCCAAAAGGAACGACGAGAAACGAACCTTTGGAGAAAGAGGGAGATTACCAAATAGGCCAAAAGAATGAAGTTTGGACAGAATATGACATCGCAAGTGGTGTCGTAAGACTTCTCCAGGTCAAAAAGGACGGCAACAACGGAGGTCTTCACAGCAAACGCACTACAAATATAGACCTCCAAGTTCACTAATACATCAATCGTGCTGCATCACTTGTGAAAGCCAAATTGTGAATGTGAGGTGGTAGTGATTGTGTTCTAAGAACCACATCAGACAGACATTGATCATACGTTCAAAAAATTCGCACATACAACTTGTTGCATCAATGGAGCTGAAGTCCTTAGGGAATATCCTTAAGAGAACCTGGCTTCCGAATAAGAAGATTAACTGTCTCAAGCCAGTCCTCGAAGACTGATAACGACTTCCACATACGGTTATAAATATTCACTAAATACTGAAATGAGCACGGAGATAACAAAACATCTCTTAACGAATGTCATACAAGCCCGCTGCCGTTGAACCGCACAGGGTCAGGGCAGACTAGAGTTCAGACAAAGAGAAGGGATCGTTACAGGAGCTGGAAATGTGTGCGAATATAACAGACAAGATTCAAGAAGGTCCTTCCGAGTAAGGAAAGTGGGAGGAAAATGAGAACTGGAACTAACACTTGACAAGTGTGAACCCTGTTCGGATACAATTAACACCTCCCCCCCCCCCAACAGAACCACAGCAGTGAAGGACTGACAAGATATCTGAAACAAACTTACTCACTATCTTATGGATTTTCTTCAAGATCTGAGAGAGATGATGTCAACCGTTATGATGAACACACAAGATTTCCATCTCTCACACTTAGCCATATGGATAGCCCTATGGGCCACCGCACTGCCTTCTGAAACAAATTAAAACAATCACGCATTCGCTGCCGTTTCTTCCAGGCCGCACGCTTACAACTCTCACCTCGAGTACAGTTTGAATTCCACCAGGTAACACACTTCCATGTGCCACGGGGGTAGAGCAAGCAACAGAGGGCAACGTTGAAAACAGTATGAAAGAGGAGAGAGGGGTCAAGGGAGAGATCATGAAGACTAGTGTGGAGGGTTAGTAGATAACAGTCACCCTTGACAAACTGCTACCTAGGGAAGGAGGGGAAGAAGGTGACAAAGATGGAAACAATTACCAGTTATGGAGATCATCAAGAACCTGCCATGTAGAATCCAAATAAAAACAAGACGAGCAGAGCAAAAGATCAAACACAGGAAATGGTGTGAGCGCACGAGTCAATATAACTGGTTCACCACAATTCAAAAAGAGAGAAAAAGAAAGAGAGGACAAATAGTTCAAGGTGGCGCCCTCACATTTTTGTCAGCACATCACCCCAGAGGACATGCCAACAGTTAAAAATCACACAAAAGGGACATGCCAACAGTTAAAAATCACACAAAAGGGACATGCCAACAGTTAAAATCACACAAAAGGAGCATGGGCTCTGGTAAGGAGTGCAACAGGTGTTTAAAATCACGAAGAGACAGTAACATTTGGGGGAACATAAATGGAACAGTGTGCCATTTTCTCAAAGATATGGACAGGAAAGACATTTGAAACAATTTTTTCCGTGTTAAAGTAGTTAACAAATGCAATGTATTAGTCTGTGATGTCATGGAGTCTGGCACCATACACAGGTTCAAATGTTGATATGATACGAGCCCAATAGCCTCAGAAATCTGTACACCACTCGAGAGGTGAGACCAGAGAGTCGAAACTCAACAACAACTAGGCGAGTATAGTATTACATATAATAAAAATAAAAAAAAAAAAAAAATAAAACCACACGAGTTGGGAGGAATCATGTGTATTCGAGTGCGGAAGTTATGGTGCCGAGCTCCCCCAGTATGACCTCAGGGGAACAAGGGGTTAAAAGGCTACGTTGCTACAATGAGAGATGCAGCCTCTCCAGGTGACGAGGTGCTCACCACTGGGGGGCTTGGTGCTCGTCCCTGACAAGAAAGTGGGAGGGACGTGGAGAGGGTCAGTCGGCAGTCAACAGATGAGCCTGGTCTGGGGCCTATGGAGCCCGATCTTACATCATTGGCCGACTCGGGGTCCTGGTCGCCCACCCCATGAAGCTTTGCAAGAGAAGTCAAGTCAGACTGCTATTCATACAGCATTATTTTCAAAAGTCTAGGTCTCAGAGCCAAGGGATGCCACCTACCAGGGCAGCTAGGGAAGCATAACATTTGCCAGTGCAGGAGGAGACGATGGGGGAGGGGGGTGTCGTTCCCAGCAGTGCTTCTTGTTTTTAATGAGAGTCCTACTGTACCGTATATTCTCTCACACTGGTGCAAAAATCCCTTTCTTCCTATTGCCCCAGTCTGGCCACCTAACCATCCACCAAGGGTGAGCCCCTCCAGCGGAAAGTCCGTTGACCCGATCAAGATTTCCACGAGTGAGTACCTTAGCACGCACAACACCCAGAGAGGGCACCAAGTCAATCCTCACTGGCCTCAAAAAAAAAAAAAAAATAAAAAAAACAGAGTCAAATGTGAGCACTCTCTCAACAAGAAACAATTCTGGAAGGGTAACGTACAACAAAGATATTCTCTCTTATAGGTACAGTATATTTTTTTATAATCATGTATTCATTAGTTTATTGGGGACCACAGATTTCCCAGCCTGCTACCTTCCTTTGATTAGGGTGTTAGACAACCCACACCAGCCAGCGTACGTGAGCACCCCCCACCACAACAAGGCAGCATCCATGATGGACAGGAGATAAAGATTAAAGGTAATTAGAACTGCCAACCACACTATTTATTCAAAAAATTTATTATCAACCAGTTTCCTGAATACAACTAATTTAATAAATACGTTGCAGGCAGCTCTGCAACTTTTAATAAATAAATTATACAGTAATTCCAAAGAAAAATCATCTATCACATTACTGTACTTATTTAAATACTGAGTCATCAGTCTACTGTGCTTCAATTCTTGTGACCTATATTCACTGTTCTGCTACACAAAGTAGCTAAATGATAATAAATTACCACATCTCTCTTTAGCCAGTGCTTATTTAATTTTGGAAGGCGTGCAATATTCATTAAGTACGGACAGTATACATCTATTGCATCCTCTATGATTAAGTGTGAATTGAACCTTTTGGGTCAACATGTACCAGAACCATGTACTCTTATATTGGCACAAACAATTCTACAACTCAATGTATAAATATGCTACTTACACTTCAAATTATAGGGTTGGTAAAGTACACCACCTGTGACCATCTTTGGTATGTGAGTAACGTAGTGTGTGTATGTACACCAAGCTTCTTTCCACTTCATACTGTTGGAAAATTGTCCCAGAATCTCTTTAAACCTCAAATTGACTCAAAACTTTTAAAACATATTTCTTATATTTTTCAACATACTATTGTATTATAAAGTCAACATTACAAATAATCTACGAACAACACCACCGTTTAAAACAAAGAGCGAGCAGCAGCACCTTACGAATTTTGTAAACTCATTCCCTAATTAGAAAATAATCAACATTCAAACTAAACAAGTTTTATTCTTGTAATTGAATACCCCATAAACTACTGTAATCCATTATTTTATAACATCAAATTTCTGCATTCGAATACCCTTAAGAAATGTTGTTCCTAAATTTTAAACCTTTAAAGCACATTGTATTTAGAAACGTTTATGTTTACATTTCAACACCTCAATCACAATAATTACAAAGTGAACCATGACCTTGTTTCAAACATACACTTTGCACACTATCATCCACAGTAAACAATGGTAGTATAATTTAATTTTCAATACAAAAACCAAACCAAGCTGGGGACACTTACTTTCCATCTTCACACGTAATCAATAGTATAGATGTTGTTAACAGTATTGGAGAAAGATAATGTGCCGTTTGTGAGAATCGCCTAACATTAATAATCCCTCGAGAGGTAAACTGCTACTTAAGCCAGACACCTCTGCCCTTTAGAAAGTACTGTAACATTATAAACAGTCAATGAAGAGCATCTTTAATGTTAACAATAATGTCACATTATTTGGATTACTCCTTCCACTTCCATTATTTCAAATATATTTGCACAGCAAAATACATTAAACAATTTATTGTGTTAACACCTTACCTTGCAATTTCACTTATATTTATTTTTCACATTATTTATGCTAACATTCATAAAATCCCTCCTGACAAAACCAATAATTTCTTCTTGCCACTTCTCTACACACACTCATTCTCTAACAATCAAATTAACCTAGTGGTAAATTTGAATTATTTTTTACTACATCGAGATCACTTTTGCTTGACTTACCAATAACATGGATATTGCCCATTTTCTTACTTTACCAAAAATGTATTACCAATAATCTTATGGATCTTTATAACAATTCCTTTAAGGATTTTGTTTTGTAGGCACTAGGTCACAATGTTCATTTATAGCTTCATAATTCTTAATACAAATTATATCCCTTTAAAATTGTGGGTTTTTTGGGGGGGTTTATAAATAAGCAGTAATTAACAAGGCTACTGGTACACTCACCATGATGAATGTTTTAATCTTATAACAGTCTGCAGGATACCGACATGTTGAGATGCCGTCAATTCTGGTCCCACTATGTGTATTATGCACAAAACTTGTAAATTTCTATACACACGACTTTTCAGTTGGAAACATATACATGTTAATACAACTATGAAATAAGTGCAAAACAAAACTATACATCATACTATGCCTTCAAAAAATCAAAAGGTAAAATTTTTTATTTCTAAGTTTGCATACCTAAAAAAAATTCCACTGCAGTGTTAATAATCTCCAACACAGCACAAAACACAAGATAACATAGCTTATTTTCTCCTCAAACACAAATTATGGCTATCACATTGCAAATTATTATTATTTTATCATTGTCTCAACGTAATTTTATAACTCATGATTTTTATTGAGTAAATGCGATGCTCATGATCCACAAGTTGTGTTAAACCTCTCAACAAAAAGATATTACTGTACTTTCAATTCTGAGGCAGTGGTTCTTGTCAAATAACACAAGTGTTTATGAATAACATGATCATTTCAACATTTTCACTGCCCATATTTACACAATTATACTGTGTATCTAGAGTGACATGAAATAATATTTACATGCTACACAAGTTTTTCTTATATCCAAAGGACAATGCATTCTTATCAAATCTTGCCTCTACAGTCTGTAACTAAATAGTATCGTGCTCAAGGCAATAATGATTCAAGGCACTGCCCTACATTTTTTACCACTATTATGAAACTTAAATGTATCACCCTAATCAAACACAAAATCTTATTTTGAAAAATTAGCTTTAATTTATTCATTGTGTTTAATTTTTGTATTATTTATTTCAAAATAATTGTGCAAAAAAACAAACATTTACAATTAACACACACTCGGTTTGACTGTACATATTCAAAGGCATAATCACTCGACACACAAAATCAATACAAGAAACTGCATCATTAGACATGCTATGATGTACATCTCGATTTGGAAATAACTATCAACCCATCCTCAGCTTTATTTACATATAACCATCAATTCACCAATGTGTCTCAAATATTATACTGTCAATCTTGATAGCTGTTGCAACATTATGTAAACTGTGTCTTACATTTCACTCATTTCTCAAGACAATCGACTTGAGAATGGTCCAGGACGGACCAAAACGTCGTCGTCCCTTCAACTTCTAGTGTGTGGTCTGGTCAACTTACATTTCAATAAATGAGAATTTGTAATATAAAATACTAGTGTCAAGTTGGTCTTACACTTAAGCAAACATCAACCTATCACAAGTATTACACAGCTGCCTCCTGCTACTACTGCTGTTTATGTTCCCGATTGAAGACTGGAAAAATATTTCAGTATGATTTGACTGGCTATTATAGGAATACCAATGCTACTACCTATATACACATTCACAAGGCATGGAACTCCAACATTTCACTGGCTCTCAACTTTTGAGGTACAGTTGTTTACAACAATGAACAGAACACACTATCAAAACATTGCCGCAATCAGTTTTATTTGTCAACACAAGACAAAACTAAATAGGATGAAGTCTTTGGTTAAGACCATAACTTCCAATTATTCTTAGGAGTAAACATATACACAATAACAAATATCTTAAGTTTACAGTTGACATCACAACCAGATGAACAAAACGGATCATCACTACCGTCAATGACAAACACACAACACACACACACACACAGCTTCGCACTTTTTTTTTTCTCACTCCTGGTAGCAAATACCTTCCTGGTCTGTTAAATGGCACTGCCATGTACTATTCTTACACTAACTCTCACTTGCGTCATAACTCATTCACACCCATTCATGATTTGTCTCACTGTATGTCATACCTAATAACTACTTGCCTAATAAATCAAATATCACTTAAAACTGGTTTTTATTTCTATAATTTTAACTGTAGAGTGATGAGCAACTTTGGTTTATTTTCATCTATAACTTCGCAACCTAACCCAAATACACGTATGCAAATTATTCAATGCTGCTCTGCTGAACTAGTAAAACCTAGGCATAGATTTCTTTGTAATTCATGTTATCAATTTCAGATTAATATTTTTAAAGGTGAACTAATTTTAATATTTTATTGCATATATTATCATTCTGGCTGTTAGCAAAATGGTCTTGCCTAGTAGGGCGGTTCTAACTTTTAAGTACGACGTTATATTTATATGTATACAGACGACCACGTCCTTTCTGGATACCTTGGAACTGAGGCGGAACGAATATCTCATTGTCTCTCGATACATGGCTACTCATCCAGAAATTCTATGGGACAAAATCAACATTTTGATAGGGAAAATTCTTCTTTTTATATTTTGTACTCATGAATGTGATATTTTCTGCGTGTTGGTGTTAGCATCAGTGTGCATCGCAAGTGGGTGTGGGTGTTAGTGGTCAGGAGTGCATGTGCATACTCACAAGTGAGTGACAGTTTTGGGAGTGGGGTGGATTTGTGTGTTGGTGTATGGGTAATGTATTACCATGCAGGTGTGGGTATTAGCATGCAAGTGTCAGTACCGTCATGGGAGTGTAGATATCAGTGTGTGAGTGCCTATATATTCGTGTCGCCATGTATGGCTGTCAGTGTGTGGGCATAATCAAGTAAAGAATGTGAGGAAATGGTGTCGTTAGGATTTTCGCGGGTCTTACACGTACTCCGTGAACTACAGATGTCGTTAGGATTTTCGCGGCTCTTACACGTACTCTGTGAACTACAGGTGGACAAAACTGGTACATAAGATTCACACTCACATTAACCCTAACTGGGGAAGGTTTATTATGGATAGTGAGGGTCAGAGGTGGTTCAGTTCCTTAATCCTGTTATAATATGCAAACAACAGAATACATTTATTCAGTATTTGGTGGGTTACTTATTCATTCAAATACTGTATTTAAAAGATAATAACATGGGTTTTGATAAAATATCAGGCTTATATGATGTTACAGCACATGTTAACACTTGTATGAGGCGAGTTTGGGTAGTCTCTCTCCCAATAAACTGCTTACACTTCCAGTTTATCTAGACTGACATTCTATCTAGAATGACATACTATTTACCAGATGTTCTTTCAAGCCTGATAAGGTACTCTCATATGTTGAAGTACCTTTACCACTCCCACACTCCACTTTATCACACATTTTTATTCAGACCACTTGCTTTGTCTCATCAGTTTATTCCAATTTTTTTTTATAAATACTCAAAACTAACAACAGCCACAGCCAGATAGGTGTCCAGAAAGTCTATAGCTTTCTGTAATTTTTATATTTTTATATTATCTATGTCTGTCTATCTATATATACTGTATGTATGTGTATAATTTATATATATATATATATATATATATATATATATATATATATATATATATATATATATATATATATATATATATATATATATATATATATATATATATTTATATATTTATATATTTATTACACACACACACTGTATTTTTATATATCCAGTACTAATACCACTCCCCCACTCAAACCCACACACACACACACACAAAGTCATAAGTTCAACTTTCATGGTATCGTGCTCTAGCAAACACTGCTTATGGTATCACACAATGGATATTTCAAAAATGTTCTCGCCTTGTTTACAAATATATTTTATGCGACATAGTAGTTATCTTCACTGATGTACAGTATAACATTACTAGCATTTCTTCCAACCACTCATGATCCATTAACAACAGACATTAACGTAACACTCGTCTCTCAATATCATTCGTACAAAAACATTTGCTCTATGAACATTAAACACAATGAAATGAGAAATCTAGGTGAAACTACAACATATTAACACGTAACAAAAAATATAGACAACACTAAATATAATAAATTATATCATTGACATTGGCTTTCAACTATCTGCTATGTGAACAAATTGCAAGTTGAGAAAGACAGAAGACAATGCCCTGGCACTGGGAAATATTGCTGCCCTATATATCAGCTGGTTATTAGATTTTTCCATTGGCAGTGAATGGTATCACAACGGTGGGGATAGGTAAAGCATGCGCGCTCCACCATCACATGCCGACACTGCACGGGGTCTAACGTGTGCAAACACACACCTTATTTGGCAATTATTATTTGCATTGAATAACCAGTCTATGCTTTAGTAGTATGTGTGTGTATATGTATGTGTATATATATATATATATATTAAATTATGTATATATATCTACATACTGTATATGAGAATCATAAGGTCAACGACGACTCTGCTTCAGCAACTCTATTTTGATTTGTGCCTGATTATAAGCTTTCGTTGTTTACCACTGCTACATACTACTCGCACCTCGTCATGTCCACACACTTGCAAAATTGCTACAGGACTTTACAAAGATCACATCCCTGAGCATATTTCAAATACTAACTGGCAGCACCTCAAATAGAGCACTAGTAATCATATCTTTACCACATTTATGATTAGATTCAAACCTGTCAATGTTTTTGCACTCACTCATTTTAAATATCAGCACTTCCCCACATCCCATCAGCAAAAAGTCACATGTGCACGAAAGGCTCTTAAACCAAATATATATTATTTGGCATATCATTATCCCAAATTTTAAGCAAACATTTTGAGAATACTGCACAAGTATTTGTTTATGTCCATATAAAGAAACCCACACAACACTAATGCAACAAGATGCATTTGGTATATACTGTACATCTACAAGAAGCGTATGCACCAAGCTTTAATCAAAACGGTGTGTGTACTTCATTGCATGCTGAATTACTTTTTATTTTAATTATCTTGTATCACTGCTTTCCCCGTCAAGAGCACCTGCTGCTGCCAACACACACACACACCATTACTTTACAGTGTCAGAAGGCCTGGTGTCGTGGCACTAGGTAGTGGTCAATCGCAGCAAGGGAAGGGAAAGGGCGGGAAGCTGACATGACTAGGCAGACAAAGCCCACTGGATTTAAACTGTATTAACAACTTTATCAGGAGCCCCTGTCAACTTGTTGACAATGTAAAATTTGTGCTTGTTTCCAACTAATCCACGAATCACAGCAATATTTTCAACCAAGAAATTAAATGGCATTGTTATGAGCGCACCAGCCATGCACATAGCCATCCGTAACCATCCAACTCTGTCGACTCGGAATGACTTTATCACCCCAAATATGTACATGTAAAAATTTACACCGCCAACAAATGCCGCAATTACATTAAGAACACCAGGAACAGGAACTGGAAATATGGTGCTAAGTATTACAGATGCCAGAGCCAACGGCATCGTGACCCAAGAGTAGAGAGAGATTGCCAGAAGCCATTTTGTGCTCACCTGTAAACCAATGATACATTAGTTGCCAACTCTATGCCAATATATTTCATCATCATCGATTATTTAATGTTGTAATTAAGTCGGTAACAAACATCCTTTCTCCCACCGTATGATTAAACAAGTTTTATTATACAAGATTTTGTTGCAAATGCAAAATGTTATGTTATTATAAGCAAGTTAGCATTTAAAGTATGATTTCATTGTGTGTATAAAAATTTTATTTTTTAGATACATTATTTTTAAGACTAAAAGCCAAACAATGCTCATTTTCAAAACACTTATATTCACATGAATCTACATAGTGTTTGGAGAGATATATTATCCAGATTTTAAAGTTGCCACTGGTTACTGTATTCCCATATATGTCAATTACAGGTTTTAAGTCTTATAATACACATCCTAAACAGTACAAGTATATGAAAATATATTTTAGTTTCATAATTTTGGATATTTTTACATTATTTGTTTATTCTGCCATATCACAAGCTTGAACATACAGTTAAAAAGAATTAAAAACCACCAAAGAAGCACTAAAATAAACAATACTTTTTTGTTCCTGAGGTAGCAAGTGTTAATTTCCGATTGCTTATGCCTTTAAAATACATTCAGAAAATGGTTATTATTCCCCTCAAACTTTCCTTTGACACCTCAAAAAAGACAGCTTTAAGGCATCAGCAAGACATCTTCCACAAGTTGTCTGAGGAAAAGATCAAAGCAATGTTTGCAGACAATATTAGCAATTTTCAAAACTGCGTTTTTGAGCCATAGGCACTCGAACAAAGGCACCAGGAACAAAAAAATATTGTGTTATTTATTGGTTATTATCAAATTTGAAAGTAACCCTTGAAATATAACATTTCAGCAAAAGGGATTCACACAATGCCAAATTTAATAAGTGATGGTTTCTACGTACCGGTATGTGTGGACTGTGGACCACTAGGAGAATGCCTTGCAGCCATCTCTTCCGTTGTTGCAAAAAGTCATATATAGTAAATGGGGACTTTTCCCACATTTCTCCTTCAATAAAATCAAACGAGTAGCCTTCCCTAAGGGCTACCATGCCAAAATAGTTATCTTCGGCTACACTTCCATCAGGCCCGTGGTCAAAAGTTACACGTCGCTCAGCACCAGTCTGAAATGAGTAGTGTAGACATTTATATTGTAAACATTACAGCTAAAAATATCCACAACATCAATTTAAATTGTAGACATTTTAACACATCTTAAATCACCAAAACTTGTTTTTTTCATTTTATATCCACCCACAATTGTAAACAAAGAAATGACAACAGGACCAGAATGACAGTTTTGGTTCATCCTAGATTATTATCGAGTAATGTAAAGACAGAAGACAAAGCAATATAAGGGATATTGTCCATTACCATTCATTTTCCTTGACAATTAACAACAATTATGTATATTTTTAAGTACTGTTTAGAGGCAAGTAACAAAGAGATTTTCATCATTAGACTGTACTTCTTGTTAGACATCCCCTTAGTTTGAAGTCAATCACAAAGAAGTGCAAGGTTTCATACCCAGGTCTGGCCTTGCTCAAGGCACATATTTCAATACCGTTTGCACACAAAGTTCGACTAATAATTTTCACACCAACATTGTGAGAGCATTTTTGCAAGTGCAATTGAAGTACTTTCAGTTAGCTATGTACAGTTTATCTAGCTGTACAGTTTCAGTCTTATTATTCGGTCATAAACTTCATAAAACTCATTACTGATTTACATAACTTTCCAGACCAGCCAGTATATATATTGTTTACATTTTACACATGATTCAGGTCCAGGTAATGCTGCACAGCTACTGGCCAACACTTGTGATTTCATAATGCGTTCTATTACAATATGCTCGGAAATATTTTACAAACTCGCGAGTAACCGTCACCTTGTCCTCCCGTTACTTACCATTATGACCAGGGTTGGTATTTATAAATGTTTTGATAAGGTTTGAGCTTTAATGATGCTAAAAAACAAAAATTGTAAAGGAACACACTGTGAATTCATGAGTATTGGCCAGTAAATGTCCAGCATATCTTGGACCTGAATCATTTGTAAAATGTAAACGACTTGCTGGTTTGGAAAGTTTTTATGTAAATCGATGATTAAGTTGTAAGCAGTCTTTTGTGTTTATTTGGGGACCTTAGACATAGAATAGTGAAGCATTTGTCTGGTAGTGCAGGTACCAGGGGCCAGATTCACGAAAGCACTTACGAACCTGTACATCTTTTTTCAATCTTTGACGACTTTGTTTACAATTATTAAACAGTTAATGAGCTCCGAAGCACCAGGAGGCTGTATATAACAACAACAACAGTTGAATGGGAAGTTTTCGTGCTTGTAAACTGTTTAATAAATGTAACTAAAGCCGTCAAAGATTGAGGAAAGATGGACACGTTCGTAAGTGCTTTCGTGAATCTGGCCCCAGCAGTCCAGGTTTAATATTACATTTTACCATTTCACTTCCCGGCCATAACACTTGCCTACAGTACATAAAGTACTGTTACTAATCCAAATAATGTATAGATTTTCACAAACACTAACTTTCTTCTGTTACATTGAACAACAAATTTGAAGAGCAATTATTGTTTTAAAACTATAATAAATATTGTATCTACCTGTGTGACAACGTAGGATCCTTTCCAACCAAAGAGCGGTTTGTGAAACACCTTGAACTGGAACCTGAGTTTCCCCATATCATCCGACACTCTAAAGCTGTCGGCCAGAGTGGTGAACCAATTTTGTATGTTTTCATTTGCATATGTAATCAACCCCTGCCAAATATAAAATAAATATTACAAAATGAACTAATAATTATATAATGCATAGATTAGTAAAATAACTATTTACCCAAAGGCCCCGATCAAGTGGCTTGGACACGAATTGTGTCGAGGGTCTTCTCGTTATTCCAAAGTAATATTTCCAGTTGTATCTTGAAGTGAAGAACATCCCAGGAGAGTATGTGCTAGCCCTGGAAACACAAACCGAAACTGTCTCTATTTTCCGCTTTTTACAACTTGCAATAAAGTAGTTACATCTTCGCTTAACGTGTTTATGACGTATTAGAACGTTGTTACAACTTACTATATTGGTTGCTATAACTGGTTAGGAGGTGTTAAAACTTGTTCGAACGTTGTACCAACGTCGTAGTTTCGGTGTGTGTTTGGCGGGAGACTTCCTCTCCCTGCTACAGCACTAGAGACAGTAACCACAACATAAACACAAGTAAAGCAGAGAGAAATGCCAAGCAGAAGTAGTGTGGTGAGCGAGAAGAGAAACTAAGGATTACATGAGCCTTCCATATAATACCTTAACAGTACAATAATATGGTATTAATATCTTCATTATGGGCATGGAGGGAATCCATGTTCCACACTACACAAGTATTCAGCATATAAATGATGTGAAAAGACTTAAGAATCAAAGTGTCATCACACATTCGACATCAGCCAACAAACATACTCGTCTTCAACATCCCAATAACCATCCAAGCAAAAACTACAACATACCACTACTAGCATACCTCTACCACAGTACTAACATTCCTCAGTCACCACCTAGGTTATTTTCTTCAGCAAGTTTTTAAAGTAATACAAATTTTGGATATGTACAATTTTGTCATGTCTGGTAACATAATCCAATGATATTTTTCCCCACATTTTAATTCATTAAACATACATTTATATAACACCATTTTCTAGGGTCTACTGTATATAATGATATATATAAGGGAGACATCAAACTAGTCAAAATAAATCCATATACGTACAGTACATACAAATACTTCAACATTCAAGACCATGCTGCCATTGAATATGATTGTGTCATATTCCTCTTAACTCAATATGCTCTCAAATTAAATTAACTTAAATAATTTTTTTAGCAAATGGCATCGATTCAAAGTTAAGACAAAGATTACCAACCTGACCAAACTGATGTCTGCCCTCAATTACAAAATTGAGAATTCCCCGGATGGCAGAATCAGTCACCAACGTTTCCTCATCAAGATGGACAATCCAGTCGGTGTCAAGCAAAATATTGACATCTTCCTCTAGGCAATATTGTAGAGCTCGGGCTTTGAACAATGCCCCACTCTTTGGACGGTAACTGGAGGGGACTACCACCTGTAATTAAAGAATAAAATATAGGTGTCAATTCCTGTCCAAGAAAATACAGAACACTCTGGGATCGAAAGCCATCCCCAAAGGTATGGGTATATCACATTCTTGTTGTTTCATTGTACTATTCCTCTTTAGCATTTTTATTTTGGTTTGTATTTGCACAACTGAAAGCTTCAAATTCACTGTATGACAATGATATCTTGAGGTTATCTTGAGATGATTTCGCGGCTTTAGTGTCCCCGCGGCCCGGTCCTCGACCAGGCCTCCACCCCCAGGAAGCACCTTGTGACAGCTGACTAACACCCAGGTACCTATTTTACTGCTAGGTAACAGGGGCATAGGGTGAAAGAAACTCTGCCCATTGTTTCTCGCCGGCGCCTGGGATCGAACCCAGGACCACAGGATCACAAGTCCAGCGTGCTGTCCGCTCGGCCGACCGGTTACACGATAGTACTGTAGTAATATTACTGTATACGAGTTGTGATAAATGAGATGAGCAATTACAATTGAGAAGAATAGGTTACAGTAATTCTGAAAGTCCTGGTTGAAGTGTCTCCGAAGGTCACTGCGCAAGTAACCTTTATAATGCCAAGAATGTGTGGAAAAATATCATGAGATGATAGAAAAAATATACAGTATATTAAAACATATCTAAATCTACACAACCACATTCTTGCATATATCCTTCTTTGCCCTTGAAATGGATACATCTTAAAAAAATTTGACTTATGGTATACATACCACCCTAAGATGCTTTAGCTACTTTGCAACATTCGAAACGCCTGCAGGGTACACAGCATTCCCAATCGGTATTAAAGCACTCAAATAAACATTCATCTTAAAAAGTGGCAATTTTGGGGCGACATTTCTCCTATACCCTGAGCATGGGCATTAACAATATAGAAAACAAAAAACTTGTTTACATTTTTGTCTTTGTGTGGGTGTACATATAAATAATGCTTGCTTATCTTATACACATTGCAAGGCTTAAAGATCACGAACAGTGACCAAGTAACAAGTACACACCTGTCTAACTCTCTGATTTTCAGGTAAATCAATCTTCTTGTCTGTGACAACCTCAATCATGAACTTCTCCAAGCCAACCCTCAGGCACGTTGTAAGATTGCGGTTGACATTCTGCCTAACAAGGTCAGGATAGTCGCCTCGCGTTACCACTCTGAGGCAGAGAAAAGGTGCCAGAAGAGGTGAGCCTTTCAGCTTGGCACGTTCAGGAAAGGCATTAAAGCATATAAGACCCAAGAGGTTAAAAACGGCCTGGAAAAAACAAAAGAAAAGTATCGTATGAAAATTTACATTCTATTAAAAATGCTTCAATACATATTTGTCATAACATCATTAACCCTTAAATAGTTTGGCAATTTCAAAGTCCTACAGTGGTGTGTGTATGACAACAAATAATTAACAAAACTAATGTAAAAAAATTAACAATTTCCATATGGCAAATTGAGCACAAGAGGTAATCAAAGATAGCCATTGGAGCCATGTAAGGCTTAAATACAACTATAATACTTCACTTACTCTAATATATATTATGTGCGTGGCGAGAGAGAGATTAAAATCAAATTCAATATAGAATAAATAGGACCTTAATATACTCAATGGATTCCTTAGCACTTTACTAGTCCATCCCTAAAACTAAAACATTCAACTCTTACATATACAGTTTGACAGAGCGACATTAAATACAATTGTGCTTGTATACATGCACATTAATAGGCTTTCAGATCTGCATAAGGGTATTTATGTTGACCCCTTTACATGTGGGTTAAGAATGATACTCTTCATCAGCTTACCACATTCAAAGATTTTTTTTGTGGAAGTTTGCAGGTAGATGTGAGGCATCTGTAAGACAAGGTCATGATTTTCCAAACTGTCATTAAAAAGCATTAAATGGATAAAAATGTTAAAGAAAATATTAACTACTTTTGTTGACCAGACCACACACTAGAAGGTGAAGGGACGACGACGTTTCGGTCCATCCTGGACCATTCTTAAGTCGATCGACTTGAGAATGGTCCAGGACGGACCGAAACGTCGGCATCCCTTCACCTTCTAGTGTGTGGTCTGGTCAACTTACTTTAGCCACGTTATTCTGACTCACCGCCTGCATTAACTACTTTTCCCTGTTTTCAGAAGTTCAACTGAACTCTTAACCCTTACAATATGAATATCATCACAAATCATCACCTTCGGCCCAAAACGCTATCCGTCTTAGTGCCTTTGCAAGAGTGTATGAACACCGATATTATGTTCTCACAACCCAATGTAACTTCTTGTACATACATAAGTAAATAAATGTAGCTTCCCAGGGTAACGTGATTAATGTGTGTTCATTTTAGTCATCACCCAGTTCTTATATAATTAATGGTTATTATACATCTATGTACAGTATATAGATGAAATGGACTAAACCTAGTCACTTGAGCAAATTTCAACTATTATTTTTATTTGATTGCTATTGATTAGGTTATTCTGGTACAATAATCAAGGCAATTTTTGTCAAATCAGATTTTGGCATTTCCCACCAATGTTAAATTCTATTTCTTTACAACATTACAAGACAGAAAAACAGTAAAGGAGTGGGTTTCAAGACACTTCCTCGCACTTTAGGCCAGAAACTTATTTACATGCAATAAAGGTGTTCAGACAGTATATTATATTATATTATAGGCCTACATAGAGTACTCAATCACTTCACTAATCAAAACTTATTTACATGCAATAAAGGTGTTCAGACAGTATATTATATTATAGGCCTACATAGAGTATTCAATCACCGCTTTTGCCAATTATGTGTAAACTTAATAATGAAGTTTAATAATCTCTGAAAGTTTAACATGCAAGTGTCATACTTGTTGACCTTGTATATATAATTAAACAGAAGATTACAGGGATTATTGCCCCAAATTATTAAAGTTTTGGACTAAATACTTAACATTTACTAACAAGCCACAAAACTATAGTGTTTGCAGTGAGAACAAATTCTGCAGTGCAAAGTGATCAATCTACAGTACACAGTGTAACATCTATAGACCCCTTGAACTGACATGCTGGGGTTCAAACAACATTGCATTCATATTACTCTATGTCTAAGGAGAGCAATGAGAGCCGTAATGGTGGAAGGAGCATTCACAATTACAAAAATGCTGTACCTAGTTAAATTATGGCTGCAAATGTGAAAACTATGACTTTCAGTGCTAGAACCTGCAATACACCTCATTATTTACATCTATACGGCTATAATGCGGCTATATACATACTCTATATACGGCTATACGGCTTATAGCCGTTTACGGCTATAAACATAATTGAAACTTGCCACCCTAGAGGTAGTGGCGTGAGATTACGTGCAAGGGGTCAACAGTACACATAGTAAGGTCTAGCCAATACAGGCCAGTAACAACACTCACTCAAAACTGCTCTTGATGCATGTGAGTGGAGGACAAACAGTACCTGAGGCAACGCCAATAAAGGGAGTAGTCTGAGGAGCTGGAAGAGAAGGGTGACTAGAGGAGGATATGATACAGAAGTGGGAGGGTCTCCCCACAAGCCCCCTGCTCCCACTTCAAAAAGCAGCACCACTGTGATGAAGAGAGACACATGGGCTACATGTTTGGTGAGGTGCAGAGTCTCCGAGAAGGCCGAGCTCAACCGACTCACCACCATCGTGCCTGGGGAAACACACACATTAAGTAAATTCTTTCAACTGGAAATAATCTTTAATATGATTTATAAATTGTAGAATAATATAAAATAATTTATCACAAAACAATTACTGTAGTTTAGAAAACACACCATTTCCCTTAAACATTAAATTAACAGGCAAACAATTTCCTAAGTAATTATACCCAGAGAAGCTATGATAAACGTATCTCATTATTGTAAAAATCTTGTTTTCAAATTATCTAATGCAGTACATATACAAGCTCTTCCTTTTTCCCATCATTACTTTTCCTATTGTAAATAACTAAATCAACCGTCTATTTTTCTTTATACACAATAAATGAACAACATCATAACTTTGTCTAAGTAAAATGTAAGGCTTTTAATGTGGAGTTCCCATTGAAAACGTTACATTGTTTATCAAAATGTTTCTGCACGTAAGGTTAGTTATTCAATGGATGAAGTAAGACCACAGTTTCTCCTCCAAGTACTCTTCTCTCTACCCACTTCAAATGCATTCTACACTGATGCTCCATACACCCACATAATTCTCTATCTTCCAACCTATATTTTTTCTTTTTCCTCTCTCTCTCTCATCACTTTTCTGCACTTAAACTTTCAATAACATTTATCTATACAACATACAGCACACCTAAATCATTTATGCTTTCCCAGCTTTATTTTTTCAACCCTTACATTAATTTCATATATTGTACCCTTCTTACAGTACTATGCCTCTCACCGATATTCATCTCTGCGCTATTCTTGCCACCATGTGGTGGGCCCAGAGATCAACGTCCTCATGGCCCGTTCTTTGACCAGGCTTCCTGGTTGGTGGTCTGGTCAACCCGGGTGTTAGATGCATGTGGCTCGCAGCCTGACATATGAATCACAACCTAGTTGATGTGTGTGTTTATCAATTTCCTGTTTGAGTACAATGAGAGATCAGCCAGTTATGCCTCTTATGTTTAGAGGAAGAGTGCTGAAAAAGACTTGAGCCTTTCATGTTGAAAGAATAGTCTCTCAGTGTACTTACTGCATATCTGCTTTTCAACAAAGCTATTTTGCCCTTCCTGCCATATCTCCTGCAATATTTTTCAAGTGGAAATTATTATGCATCACTTGTCTGCACTCTAGAGAATACAGCTTTTTAACATTTTAAATGGTCCCAATAACTTAGATGTTATATTGAATGGATTCAGGCAGTTAGAGATCTTCAGACATTCTCCAGCTTTGAATGAGGCAGTTAGTGTGCAGCAATAGTCCGACCTAAAGGGCATTAGTGTCTTAATCCGTATCATTGGTCTGGAAGAGTTTCTGTTATCCAACCTGTCACTTTTCTTGTAGTTGTGACATTTACTTTAATGTGTTCTTTAAAAGTAAGGTCATCAGACAAGATTATTCCCAAATCTTTTACAGTACAGGTATATTGCTTTTTCCTTCCAAGATGTGATTCAACTCCAATTTGTGTGGTTTTACGTTTCGATATTTATGTTTTTCTATATCGCAGGAGCTGCGACTTTTCATTAATTAAACATGTTATTTTCTGTAATCTTTGGAGCACCTGATTTACTGAACATCAATATAGAGGTTTGTCAGGTCTTTCACTTCCCCTCTTATATCCCTCTTCCCTCTCTCACATGCCTCTATCCCTCTTCCCTCTCACCCCACTTCCCCTATCTCCTCCCAACTCTTCCTTCCTTCCTTCTACTGTCTACTCGTGAAATCCCAGCATCAACTGCAAAGAATGATGTGACCTATAGTTTGCGTCCTTGTTTATGTCCAGTATGAGAAGGAGAAAAAGTACTAGAGTAAGTACTCTAGTACTTACTCTAGTACTTTTACTCTACACAGTTCCCTGAAGAATTGAGCAAAACTCAGTCTCCCAGGGTACCGTGTAGACTATTAAACTCAAGGATGGGAGTGAGAGGGTAGAAAATATTTTAAAAATCTGGCTTCCTGCTTTGACAGCAATTCCTTTGGTGTGCATTTTGTTTGCAAATAACCCATGGTAACACTGGCTCAAATTTTTGCAAAACTTGTGTATATTGTATCGGTGCTTCTCTTATCTTCCATGGCATCCAAGGGCATGTCACAGTGATCTAGCAATTCTCAGAGGCAGGAGTGCTCTATTTTGAGCCCAATTTTCCTAGGGTTATGTAGATGATATGATGACATGATGTTTAACATCATGTTACAAACATCAAACAACATGATGTTTAACAGTGATAAATTCCAGGTACTCGGGTACAGTAAAAATGAGGACATTAAACACAATACAGGGGACAAAGCACAATCAGATGTGCCCATAGGAGGATAGCAGCATGTCAAGGATTTGGGAATAATGATGTTTGACGACCTAACGTTTAGGGAGCATAACCAAGCAAATATTGCATCAGTCAGAAAAATGATAGGATGGAATACGAGAACTTTCAAATCCAGGGATTCCTTCACAATGGTTGTACTATACAAATCACTCGTACTGTCCCGTCTTGAGTATTGCTCAGTACACACTTATCCTCTTCAGAGCAGGAGAGATTGCTGAAATAGAGGGTGTTCAGAGAACATACAGCATACATAAATGTGATAAAGCACCTAAATTATTGGGATTCTCTCAAAGCTCTCCAAATGTACTCACTAGAAAGGAGACAAGAGAGAGATCAAATAATATACACATGGAAAATACTGGAAGGCCAGGTCCCAAATCTACACAGTAAAATAACAACGTACTGGAGTGAATGATATGGAAGAAATGCAGAATAGAACCCGTGAAGAGCACAGGTGCCATAAGCACAATCGGAGAACACTGTATAAACATCAGAGGTACATGGTTGTTCAACATCCTCCCAGCGAGTATAAGAAATATTGCCGAAACAACCGTGGAGATCAAGATAAAACTAGATAGTTTTCTTCAAGAAGTGCTGGACCAACCCGGCTGTGGTGGATATGTGGGCCTGCGGACTGCTTCATTTGACAGCTTGTTGAACAAAGCTCTCAGAAGTAAAGCCTGGCCTTGGGCCGGGCTTGGAGAGTAGAAGAACTCCCAGAACCCCATCAAGCAAGTAACAAGCAGATGTTGTGATTCTGCGTGTTTTGTAACCTTACTTCTAAACACTCCTTCAAATATTTTCATGATGTGTGATGATAGTGCCCTCTGTCTAATTTTCTTCGCCTGTTTGATTTTTATTACCTCCTTTGTGAAGTGGCACGATCTCCATCATTTTAAGTGTTGGGGATAACTATAGGCTATCTACAAATCATGTTTCTAGCTATGAAACATGGCCAAAAATAACAAAATAGTTATTTTTTCAATTCTTGATGATTATGGAATTACAGGATTCTGGCATTTTGCTCTTATATTGCTCATCATTTAATTCTCCATTCTCCTCACTCTGCACCTCAAAAAATTAAATTTCTACTACAGGAACATTCCATGTTACTGTGTTATTTACCCTAGGTATTCCCCCCCCAAGGTATTCACCAGGGTATTCACCAAGGTATAAAAGTGTGCGTAACTATAACCTACTTCCAAGCATTCGCTTGCTATTTGCCTTCCATTAAAGTTTTTGGCTCACTTGCCACCCATTCCATAACTGTATGCAAAACTGACCGCATTTGTACCTCCCAATTCCACACCCTTTGCTACTTTTCTGCTCATGTCCACACACACCAGTGACCCAAAACCAAAATTAATATTTTTTCTCTTTGCATTTGCTGTCACTTTTTTTTTTTTGGTTATCTTGAGATCTTGAGGTTATCTTTACATGATTTCGGGGCTTTTTTAGTGTCCCCGAGGCCCGGTCCTCGACCAGGCCTCCACCCCCAGGAAGCAGCCCATGACAGCTGACTAACACCCAGGTACCTATTTTACTGCTAGGTAACAGGAGCATAGGGTGAAAGAAACTGCCCATTGTTTCTCGCCGGCGCCCGGGATCAACCCCGGGACCACAGGATCACAAGTCCAGCGTGCTGTCCGCTTGGCCGACCGGCAGCCATTGGTATATTCAATGCTTTTTTGTCTTGGCCATGATACCTGCTTGATGGGGTTCTGGGAGTTCTTCTACTCCCCAAACCCGGCCTGAGGCCAGACTTGACTTCTGAGAGCTTGGTCCACCAGGCTGTTGCTTGGAGCGGCCCGCAGGCCCACATATCCACCACATGACAGTGTGAACAGCGTATAACATCTTGTACTTTTTCTCTTCCATCCCTTTTATAGTATTTTCTTGTTCCAATTACAAAAACAATTGGACCTTCACTGCAAAAGGCAAGACATTTTTTCTACGCTGTACTGCGTTTATTTTTGTTCATATTCAAACTTTATTTTAATATCTGTGATAAATATGATTCGAATATATTTCTTGTAAAACTTTCTAGATATTGTTTGCAACTGAGATTATTAGAATTATCCCTTGGCATCAGGGCAAGTGTGTTGACTCTGCTTCACCTTAAATGGTAATTTTTTACTGCAACAAACTATCGTGTAATCTTCACTCACCTGCACTTCACCACTAAACATTCACAGATAAAACTGGCACAAACCACATTGTTTGTGGTGTAAGCAACATCAACTTTACGGCACATCCCAAACATACAACTAACTCCACCTCACTGTTTATGTTTCAACTTAAACCACAAGAGGTGGATAACTAGCATGATTCAAATTCAATCATCAGCCCATGACTTCCTAACTTAGGAGTACAGTAATGTTATTAAGAGAGACATTGAATACCAGCAGCACATCACCTTTTCTCAAAGTACTTTTCAAGCTCGGCAGTGTTATTGTTGATGCGGCTGCTTCTGGTATTACATGGACCATGCTGGTTTGTCACTAATATTCAACACCACATACAATACAGTAATACAATTACTGTATAATGTACTGTACAAAATAAAACATTATTCCAAATAAGTATTTTGGGGCAACCTGAAGCTGCCAAAAACTAATTTATCCTGAGTAACATAGTTAACAGTTAATGTTTTCAATTACTGTACATAATAAATGCACAAT